GTAAGAAAAAAAATAGACATGTGTTATAAAAAACCAATACCAACAAAGATACAAAAAGAAACGGAAATGTTAACGCCCACACATGTGGGCGTTTGCACATCGCCCACACGTCTCCATCACCACTCATTTTGCCACGTATGAATAGATGACATCAGCAGAATTTTTTTTGGTTTTCGGCTTAAAAATGTTGTATCCCCTAAATAAAAAAGCGAACTAAAAATCCGTTTTCACCATTAAATCCGTCTCGACGAGATCTTCAAAACTAGACCCCATGTTGATATGTTTCGATGGATTTTTTTTTTGCCAGAAGTTGCCACGATGTTTACACTGCAGTTGCCATAGGGCTTAAACTAAAGTTGCCATGTGGCAATTTTAGTTTGTAGATCATGGCAATTTTAGTATTTTGATGATGGCAACTCCAGTACTTTGACCATGAAAATTATTTTTTGTATGAACCATGGCAATTTTACGTGCATGTATCATGACAATTTTAGTTTATGGTCATGGCAAGTCTAGTTTCTTAATTCTCCGTTTTATAAATGTCAAAATTTACTTTTAAATGTAGAAGAAAATAGCTGAAACATATCATGGCAACTTCAGTGTAAACATCGTGGCAATTCATATGCAATAGACATGGCAACTTTTAATCCAAAAAAATTTCATCAAAATATATCAACATGGGATCTAGTTTCGAAGATCTCATCGCGAGGGATATAATGGTGAAAACGGATTTTCAATCGGATTTTTCGTTTAAGAGATAAAATATTTTAAAAACTGAAAATCCAAAAAGATTCATGCATGCATGCATGGGATGACGTGGCAATCTGTTTACATTAGAGACGTGTGGTGCGTCTTCCTTCCTGCCACACGTGTGGCAGTTAGCGCGACCCAAAAGAAAAACAAGAAAAAAAAACCTAAATAACCAAGAATCTTTCCTACTTATAAAGGTTGGAGTTGATGGTGAGTTCATATACGAGACCAACAACCTTCATCAATAAAAAATACACCCTTATCCACATGTGGACCCAACAACCTTCAGCAATAAAAAATACACCCTTACCCATTTATGGGACTAGCAAAAGTACTCGACTAGCAACCTTCCAAGATACATAAATAAACAAATGTGCTTTTACTTACAATGTGAGACCTAAAACAAATAAACAAGTATACTACTACTCTCATGTGAGACCAATACTAGCAGAATGAACAAATAAAAATTGTAAAAATGTAAGTCCAACTCAAAATTATGCTCTTAAGCAGTTCGTAGCAACGCACGTGCATTATGCTAGTAAATAAGAAAAACCAAAGAAAACAGTCGAAAAACAAAGAAAACCAAAGCATAAAAAAAGACTATGAAAAATAAATAAAACCAAACAAAAAAGAAAACAAAAAACAAAAAGGAAAGAGAGAAAAAACAGACCGAACTTACCGGACAAGGACGAGCACAGGAAGGCAGCGGACGACAACAGAAAATGGGCCGGCCACTTATAGTTCGCCCACAGGCGATTCCTAACAGTAACCAGTACGGTTATCTAGAAAATAATCAGCAAGGACGAGACATATACCTAACGTCTTTTTCCACGAGAGTTATATCTCGCATTCTTGCTTATAGCGAGATGAAAGGAGCTCTCATGCCAGACGCGGCACGAGCGGGCCGGCCACTAGTGTAGGGATCCGCTCGATGTATGTTAGCTCTACTCCAGTTTTCTTTGGGCGTTTTTCGCTTTCTTTTGTTTTTTTCTTTGGTTCTTTTTGTTTATTCACCTGCTTTTGGTTTTTCTTTTTTTCTTTGTTATAACTTAGGTTTAATTTGTTCAATGTTTTTCTTTATTTTTTTCTCGGTTATCACTTGTTTTTTCTTTGCTACTTTATATGTTTTTCATTCTGTTTTTGGTTCTTCATTTCTCTTTGTTTTTCATCTGTTTTCATTGGGTTCCTTTTTTATGTGTTTTTCTTTATGGCTTTCATTGTTTTTTTGGGTTTAGAACCTTTTTGAGCGACTTATTTTTGCTTTCCATGTGTTGTTTGTGTCGTTTTTCCTCAGTTTTTTTGCGTACATTTTTCATGTACATGTGAAACGTTTATCTTTATACATGTTAATGTTTTCGAAATACACAATTATTTTATAAATGATGTTTTTAATGTCTACATTTTTCATATAAATCAAGAACATTTTATATATAAATTTAGCATGTATTAATACATGCTTACCATTTTTTAAATATAACAAGTAAAATTTCTTTCAAATAAGTGTCTGATGTTGGACGCAGAGTTTTTGCACCCGAGCTCAAATGAGCTCGAGTGAACAGAAAAATCAAAAGAAAATAAAAAAAGAGTCCAAATTATTTTTGGAAGAAACATTGACAAAAGTTTTCAGTTCTTGCAAAAGTTCGTCATTAATTCACATTCCTACAAGGCGTGGCAGAAAAAAATCGATACTTTGAAAATGCTACTTTCAACAGTATTTTGGAGCACTAAATCTATCTCTTTTGCCACGCCTTACAGAAATGTGATTCCAGGACGAATTTTTGCAAGCACTTAGAACTTTTGTCAATGTTTCTTTCATTTTTTTTTGAAATTTGTTTCAATTTTTTTATATTTTACTGTTCACCAAGCTCAAATGAGCTCGGGAGCAGAGAGGCACTTTCGGTTTGATGTCTACTTTCTTCATATACATTGTTCATGTTTTATATACATCCGAAACATTTATTTGATATACGTTTAACATTTTTATATAAATGATTTTTTAAATGCGTGAACATTTCTATTATCTCACAAATAATTGTTTTATGTGCTCTCAACATTTATCATATATATTTTAAACGTTTCTTTATAGATATTTAACTTTTTTAAAAGAGGATTAACATTTTTTCATATATATTTTTTATGTCTACTTTTTACATACACATTGTACATCTTTTGTATACGCCATGAGCATTTATTTGTGCATGTTTAGAAAAATATTAAATACATTGTTAGCATTTTTTCCATATATATGTTTTGATCTCTACTTTTTTTCATACACATTGTACATTTTTTATACATGGAATCATTTTCTGTGCATATGAACGATTAAAGGTTTTCATTTCTATATGTAAAGTGATTTTATAGTAGATATGTTTAGAATATTTCGAAATATAAGCAAAGTTAAAAAAAAGGTAAAGGAAAAGGAAAACAATGCAAAAATGTGAAAACAAAACGCTCAGCGCCTGCGGTCCCCGCTGGGCCGGCCCATTCGGGGCACTGCTTGACGCGAGGCTGCACTGTGTCTCGTACTCTCTCCGTCCGGAAATACTTGTCATCAAAATGAATAAAAGGAGATGTATTTAGATGTAAGCAATTTCGGACGGAGGGAGTACAAGCGAGACATAAGCAATTTCGTATAGTTGCGCCCTCTCTTTCCTGCCTCTATCGCCACTTCATCGCTCCAGGCTGCCGGCGAGTCGCAACTCCACCGCGTTCACCGGAGGTGCCTCCGGCCTCCTCCTCGCATGCCGCCACACTCGCGCCGCATCCCCTCTTGCACGCTCGCCCCGTCCCATGCTCGCCCCTCCGATGCAATGTGCCGGCCTTTCGTGTGCTGAGCGCCGGCGCGCTCAGGGCGTTTGGCGAAATGCCGACCCGGATGCCGGTTCTTGGACTGCGGGTGGCCGAAGAGAAGCAGGACGGAATCGTGGAGCAGGCGCGTTCTGAAGCGTGGGGCGCGTTCTGAAGCTTGGGCGTATGTGCCGGGGGGCGAGGCGGGTGGTTTCTTGGCCGCGGGTAATCCTTGGACATGGTACGTATGCGCTTCTGGTCGCGATCCCTCTCGTGTTCTGCTTGTGACTGCATGCCTGTTATGTGTTCTGTGTTGCGTGCATTTCAAAGTGCTAAAGATGGCAGTCGTGTTACATTCTCCAATTCTCAGTCCATTCCATATTTCCATTCAGTGCTTGGACAATGGACCACCACCAACCAAACATTTGACGTACAGAGTAATTCGGTAACTCACCTCCGGCTGATACGAAGCAAACAGTGACAGCACACAGTCTCTGCACTTGAACGGGAAACATTCTCAATCCTTCACTAGGAAAACAAGACAACCATTTCACATGTTTATACTTTTCCCCATGCTCGTCAAAGTTAAGCATATTTAGAATACTGATGTGCGTGCTGGTAGTTGCATTAGATTCTCTCATTACACTTCATTCGGCACTTGAACCAACAAACACTTGTTGTAAAGTATACTACTTCGGTAACTCACATCCAGCTCCGACGGCTCCTAAAATCCGCTTATATGAAGCAAACATCTGAATGGAAACCATTTTCAATGCTTCCCTAAGAAAACAGGACAATCGTTTTACATGTTTATACCTTTTCCTATGCTTGTGGCTTAAGCATATTAGTACTTAAACAAACATCGAAAGTAAGATGAATTTTACAAAACTCTTTCCTTAAAGACTTTACAAAGATCAGAATGCAGTCTTGTCAGGCTATGTACAAGACAAACAGAAGCAGTAGTTCTAGTGGAACTAAAAAGTTGCAAGTACATCGTGCACAAAACTGAAGGATTATCTATCTTTTGAAGTTCACTATATGTTGGCTGATCTTTGCATCTCTGGATCAGCGTTTATACTGGACAGGCAGGAGACTACTTCCATGATAGTTGGCCGCCTGAATTGATTATGGTCAACACACTTGCAAGCGGCTTCAAGCACCTTCAGCATTTGCTCTTCATACCCTGTTCCTCGAAGTGTTGGATCCAGGACCTCAATCTGCTTTCCCTCTTACCTCATCTGTAGAACCCATGAGGCAAGTTCTTTTGATGTAGATAGGTCTGTAACAGGTCAGATTCCAATGAGCAGCTCAAGCAGGGCTACTCCAAAACTGTAAATATCACCTCTCATTGTTGCAATCCATGTTCGCCGATACTCCAGGGACAATGTAAACCATAGTACCGACCAGTTCAGTTGTGACATGACTTTGGTTGGGAAGAATTAATGTGGCTACCCCAAAATCATTCATTTGTACAAGCAGACCCCCTTACCATAGAGGTGAGACCATAGAGATCTTTGTCCGGTTTCATCCCTGAACGTAACTGCATCAGTCTTGGATGACTTCTGGAAAGTAGATAGGTTGATGTAAACTTTTTGTTCCAACAATCGTCCATTATACCAGGAGATGTTCTTCACAGTCGTAGTGCGCTCGTCGTCTCTATGATTTGCCCCACAACCTTCCCCATCAGGTATCTTTTCTGTGAGATTACTCGGCATTTCGAAAAGCTCCAAATTTTCCAGATGTATGAGGTTCACAATGCTATGGGGTATTTCAGCGAGTTCAAGACATTGGCCGAGTGTCAGCAAACGTAGATCTACAAGGCTCTCCTTTTGAAACTCTATGCTGGTAAGATTGGGCAAGCCCAGCAAGCTTAGTTGTCTAAGGGCCGGGAAACAACCTGCTGCAAAGGTTAAGCTTCCCTCGGTGTATGCATTAATGAGACTAAGATATAACAGCCTGGGAAGTGATGAGAGTATTGCAACTGAATCTTCTCCGAGTTCAGATGAGCGCAAATGCAATTGCGTGAGGTTGGTAAGAGAACCGAACCATGATGGTAACTTACCCCTTGCCAACTTGCCAGTTATGGTGAGTGTTTTTAGGTTCACTGGTGGTGGCAAAAATGACTCCAAGTCCAACGTTACATTAGCATCAGAACTGATTATTCCCAAGCGCAGAAGGCAACTCATTCTGGATAGTGCTGAGGGCAGATCGACAATAATTCTCTGGTCCACACCAAATAGCTCTAAGCTCCTCATCTGTTCCAAGCTCGCTAAGGATCTGACCAGCTTCTGATTAGCTTGAACATATTTAAGAGTCTGTAGGCATCTGAGATTTTGAAGACCATCCGGAAGAGCAATTGGTGTACCAGGGGCCGGCTTCATGAAATCTGTGCCTCGACGTGTAAACAATATCAGGTGCCGGAGGTTCTTCAATTTTGTTATGCTACTTGGCAATGTCTTGATCATGGACCATTTGGCATCCAAGGTTTGCAAGTTATGTAGTTTCCCCAATTCTTTCGGCAGCTCTTCAATGTGGGTGGAGCGTATGCCAAGGTACCTCAGATTATAAAGATAGGCCACTGCACTAGGCAGTTTATTTGTCTTAATGAACCAAAGGTTTAGCACAGTTAACAATCTGAAATCAGACAACAGCGAAGCATCCAGCTCTGACCTAAGCACATAGAAGGAGCGAAGTGAGGCCAGGTTTGGAGTCGACTGACGGTCAATTTGGCAGTTATCAAGTGTAAGATGACGGATTTTCTGTTTCGAGTCCACCGTTGTGCTCCTAGATAACTGAAAGGTTCTGTCTTCTTTTGACCTATGTGCAATAACCTCTCTAATCAGGTCATGAATGTGTAACCTCTTTGCACGTCCAAACTCATTTCTTAACGCGACCAGCAACAAGTTGCGTTGCACAAGCTCGGTCACATAACCATCCGCAACCTCCTCCATTGTGCTATGGCCCTTTTCCTCTACCAAACCTTTGGCAATCCACTCTCTGATTAGAGTCTTCCTTTTGATAGAGAAATCCTCAGGGTATACACTGCAAGAGAGGAAACATCTCTTCAGGCGGTACGGCAAGTCATCGATACTGAAATTCAGTACAGTTGACACTTGCCCAATACCGTGATCACAGCCTTCATCCCACAGAAGGTTGTCATGGACGTTCTTCCAGGCAAACTCTGTTTTTTCCTTCAATGCAAGGAGGTTTCCAACCGATATAATCGCCAATGGCAGACCACAGCATCTGTCCAGTATCTTGGAAGCCCAATGCTGCAGATGATATGGGCACTCCGGACCCGCATCTTCTCGGAATATGGTGCTACAGAATAAAGAAGATGCTTCCTGTTCAGAGAGCGGTTCCAACTTAATGGTCCTGTGCGATGATGCCAGAGCAGCCACTTCTTGACTGCGTGTGGTGATGACTATTCGGCTCCCGGTTCCACTATCAAACAATGCAGTGCGGAGCTGAAACCAGGCATCTGCATCCCAGACATCATCCAGCAAAAGAAAGTACCTCTTCTGCGTGAGATGACCACGCAGGGCCTCCACTAGAGACCGGTAGTCCATCTCGTCCATGTCTCGTGGTGCACCATCTTGGACATACCGGTGAAGTTCCTTGACGATTCTCCTGAGGAGGTCCTCGGTGGTGAAGTTCTTGGAGACGGCCACCCACGCGGCACAGTCAAAATGGCAGCTTTTGGCGATTCTCTTGTACACGTTTGTGGCAAGAGTAGTCTTTCCAACCCCGCCCATGCCGCAGACGGTGATTATCGTCTGCCGGGTCTCAGCTTCCTCGGTTAGCCATTTCATCAGTAACCTCTTGTGCGCGGCAAAGCCAACGATTTCCTCCTCCTCGACGAAGTGCGCAGCCTCTGATAGTTTCCGGCAGATGGCGACCGAGGTGCCGGTGCCGCCATCCGGAGACCCGGAGGCATCTGCCGGCCGGATGCCGTACTGCTCCTTGACGGCCGAAAGAGCGCGGAGCCTCTCCCGCGCCTTCCGCAGGCGGCTGGAGAGCGCGAACCAGGCCCTCACGTCGGCGCAGGCACGGAGGAAGCCGCCGCTGCCAGCGAGAAAGGTGTACTCGTCCACGACGTCTTCGAGCTCGAAGCCGACGTCGCGTACCTGATCGACCCAGGCGCTGGCGAGCGCGTCTGTGCTGCGGCGGGAGTCGGCGAAGCGGAGGAAGGCGCGGAGGAGCTCGAGGTCGCGCGCGGCGGCGGCGATACCGTGGCGGATGGGTACGAGAGAGGCGGCTGCGGCGCGGGACAGCGCCGCGGCGACCTTGACCGAGAGGGATATGGCGATCGCTTCCGCCATGGCTGAAAGTCAAAGCACGAAGCGAACGCTTGCTTGATGTGCTGCCGCGAACGCGTAGTTGATCCATCATCGCCCTCTTCCGTGTCGCTGAGCATTTTCGTATTCGAAAAGGCATCTCGCTTCTTCTTTTTTAATCGATTTACACCGGACATTCTTCTCTCTGTTAATACTAGAAAAGTTACACGTGTGTTGCAACGGGAGAAAAACCCATATACCCATGGCCTGTGTTATGCTATTGATTAAACAATGATTGTGATAAGTCAAGCGACAGACGATGATGCGGCTAAATGAACCAAATGAATAATTAAGTGTATAGCGCCGATGAATCAATTAACAGTACTCTTCTTTGAAGGTAGTTCGAAACTTGCGACGTGAATCCTAGCCAAGTAATTTTTATTTTTGTGGGGCCCCAGCCAAGTAATCGGGTGAACAACCTTATCCTTAAATTACCATACTGATAACAAAAATATTGTACACGTAGTAATTATTTTGAGTTATTGACATCAGACAATAAAAATGTGGTATACTTCGTCCGAGAACCAGGCATGCAAGCTTCTGTCGTGTGTGCTAACCGTGAAGTCATGTCGTATAGATGTTTTAATTTTCTGTTATGTTGAGATATATGCAGGATTCTCCATCGCAACTAAATTTTTATTTAGTCTGTTGTGCCTCGGTTACATGTAATTTGCTCTATTCTAACTTTCTTTTGTTCTGGTTGTATATTTGCATAATTTTGTCTTTCTCGTGCGCATTTGTTTGCCTTTTGTGTTGGCTTCATATTTGCATATTTCTTCCTTCCTTGTGTTTTCTTTTTTTTTGCAACTGGGTTAAATCTTTAGTTTTTTGTTTTGCTCATAGGCTTCACAGCGCTTTTTTAGTTTAGTTTTGTTTTTCTTCATTGGTCATGCATGCGTATCGCTCTTATCTCTTTACCTTCTTTATTTCTTAGCATTCATGACCAAAGATTGTGACTCTAATTGCATGCCTTTAGAGTGTTTTATAATGTAGGAATCTGTTGTTGATGAGAGTTTCACACATGCAATACAGAAATGGCGGTGACACCGACTATTCAAAACATGTTTGTACAATGTACAACATGTATGAAAAAAACAGACATGAATTAGAAAAATCCAATGAAAATCGACAAAGAAACAAAAGAAAAGCAAAAAAGCAAGAGAAAACCTTAAGTTGCCCAAGAAACTGAAGTATAAATAAGAAAAATTAAAGAAAACAGTTGAAAAACAAAGAATCCAAAGCATAACAAAAAATGAAAAGGATAAAACTGAAAAAGAAAGAAAACCAAAGAAAAAACAAAAGGAAAGAAAAAAAAACAGACCGAACCGACCGGACAAGGACAAGCAAAGGAAGGCATCGGTTAACAACAAATGCGCCACTCGCGTCGGCTGAAAGTTTCGACCGGTCGCCCCCCAACCGTAGGATTAGGCCATCCCCGCCGTTGATATCCCAAATCATTTTCCTACCTCTCTTAACGCTTGGTCAACGGCTAGATAAAACGTCATGACCCGCTTTGCCTAGATAGCCGCGCGCATGTTCAGCATGAGTGAGGCGCGGCAACAACCTCGCGTCGCCGTCTCACCGCGACATCGGCGTTCAAGCGATTCATGCCGACACGGTAGTTAAAACTAGGGCCAGAGCATGTCGGTTCCAGCTTGTCCCCCGCACATGTTGTAGCACCTCCCCCTCGTCAGTTGCAGCTCCGCCATGGGCGGTTGTAGCTCACAGCCAAGCTGGTTCCAGCATTTCGCCCAACCGGTCGTAGCGCATGACGTCGCCGTTCAAGCACCTTCCTCCTGCCGGTTGCAGCTCCGCCATTAAACGCCACAAAACATCAGTAACAAATTAAAACTGTGTTCGCATGTGGTAGCAAAAAGCAAAAACAGGCAACACTAGTTTCAGCAAAAATGCATTGCTGCCCACGATCAAAAGAAAAAGAAAACTCACTCGATCCAGCAAAAAAATTGGCCGGTTGTAGCCAAACAAAAAGGCGATGCAGAAAAACGACTTGAATGGTCGTCTGGTTCCAGCACTGCTCCTCTGTGGATGCAGCTTTTTGCCGACCAGTTCCAGCAAAAAAATCACCAGTTGCAGCATGGGAGGTCGCCACTCCACTGCCGACAGCTTCTCATTGCAGCTTTCCTCCCGGTCGGTTCTAGAAAAAAGCTAGTCGTTCGTAGCACCGGGGGTCGTCGTCTCCATCACAAAGCTACCGCCTGTCACAAAAC